TGCCGTGTCCAGCTGCATCTGATAGGCCGGTACATAACCCTCCGGTGCCGTCATGTGCAGCGGCGCTGCGCCCTGCTGCTGCGCTCAAGGAGTAAGCAGGGATCCGTGCCGGGAGAGGCATCAGCGTCGGTGCCGTGTGGGGCGCCTGCTGTGGCACCGCAGATGGCGCATAGTATGGTGCGGGGCCCTGCACCGCCCAGGGGGCCGTGTGCAGCACCGGACCCTGCACCGGTGCCGTCGACGCTGCAAGCGCACTCGCTCCCGGTGCCGTCGGGAAGGGGCCCGGGGTCGGTGCTGGCGTTCGTCCCGGCTCCGGTGCTGGTGTTCTTCCCGGCACCGGGAAAAAGCGGGTGCGGCCGGGAAGGGGCCCAGGGTCGGTGCTGGCGTTCGTCCCGGCTCCGGTGCTGGTGTTCTTCCTGGCACCGGGAAAAACTGCTGCTGGGCCGAGGCCTGCCCTTCGCCCAGAGGGTCCCACGACCCGGCCATAGCCTGCTGGGGGGCACTTAAGGCCGGTGCCAGCGCGGTCCGCTCCTGCGGCACCGGGCCCTCCCCTTCATCCACAGCCATGTGAATGAGGTCCCGGGCCGCCTCAAAAGTTTCTGGGGTGGAGGGCCGACGGACCTCTCCTAGCCCCACGGGCTGCCCCGGGCTCTTGCCCCTGTCCGGGCTACGCCTCTTTTTGGAGGACTTAGAAGAAAGGTGCCCCTCCTTAGGGCGCACCTTCTGGGCACTCCTCTCTACCGAGCATCCCCTCGAGCTCTTGGAGGCCCTCGGCACCGGGGACTGCCTGTGCCTCGGTGCCGTGCTGTCCGACAGGGGTGCCGCCGACGGTGTGCTGCGAGCAGAGTGAGGCCGCTCCTCGCTCTGATGCTGCAGTGCCGACTCCATTAGCAGGAGTTTCAGCCGGAAGTCCCTCTCCTTCTTGGTCCGGGGCTTAAAGCTCTTACAGACAGAGCAGCTTTCAGCTCGAGGGGCCTCACCCAGACACTTTAGGCAGTCTGAGTGGGGATCTCCGCAGGGCATAGGTTTGGAGCAGGAAGCACAGGGTTTAAAGCCCTGGGGCCCTGGCATGCCCTCCCCTCACGGGAGGGTTCCACTGCTCCCCCATCTAACTAAATATTTACAACACTTAACTACTTAACTAGATAAAAACTTCAACTAGAACTATAATACAACAGATAAGAAATAAGCTGCTAAGAGAGAGGCTATCAGCCTGAAGTATGCTCCAGCTACCGTCACGGGCAGTAAGAAGGAACTGGGGGTGGGAGTGCCAGCAGGGGTATATATGCACCGATATACCGGCACCACTCCAGGGGGCTCCCTGCTGGCCCTATGGATACTGCTAAGGGAAAAAAGCTCCGGAATCCGTGCACGCTGCACGCGTACACCTAATCAGAATGGACATGAGCAAGCACTTGAAGAAGAACTAGCTTCTATTTAGCAATAGTCACACACTAAGGAAGGACTGCTGAGATGGCAAGGCACTCCCACTGTTTGAAGAAATTCACTTCTGTGACCATATACAACAATACTCTACACTAACCTGACCAATGGTGAATGAAGCACAATTTAATTCCTAAATTTTCAGAACAGGGAAGAAAATTTACCCACAAGTCCCATTTACATCAATAGGACTCTTGAAATTAAGAGTCCCATGCACTAGTTTGATTATTTGGAGTCAAGTCTTTTCTAATCTTTTTTTTTTTTTGCACACCTGTCTGGTCTGACATTGTAAAAGGGACATCTGTCAATGTTTAAGACCCACAGCACAGCTCAAGAGCTACAATACTACTTATGTGAAGAGAGATAAGTTACATACATATGAAAAACAAGTTCATTTGCTCTATACTCAGTATCTTTCCTTAGATATTTTGTGTTTAAATAGTAAAGGATAGAAAAAGAGGATACACAGATATCCAGGATGTAACAGGTGTAGGAACAAACTTTTTCTTTATCCTAGGAAGGTTGGTTTACCACATAAAACATCAAGAGTTCATCTGATGCCATGATCCTTGGTTTCCTGCTGTGTGGCCAGCCTGGATTTCCAACAGTCTAACTTGGGATCACAGCCAAGCAGCTTCTTCCAAGCTGTTCCCGCTAATAAGGAACTATATTATAACCATCATTGCTGCATAAGGTGAATAACTTCATCTTATTTATATTCATTACCATCAGCTTCCCTTTTTTTCCAGTTTAATATATTTTTATTTCTTGTAACTTGCCTTCACTTCCCCTTTAAGCTAGGTAGTTGGATTTTTTTTTTTAAACCGTGACACTGCCTCCCTTGATGCTTTTGGGTCATTTAGTAAAATGTTTTTAAATAATCATCTCACTGGAGATATTTAAGAACAGTTAGCCAGACACCTGTCAGGGATGATCTAGACAGTGCTTGGTCCTGCTGTGAGGGCTGGGGACTGGACTCAATGACCTCTTGAGTTCCCTTCCACTTCTATTGATTCTGACACTAATTCTTCTCACATGGTACTGCTTTGACAAGTTAAGTGAATAACAGCCCAGACTGCACAAGTACCTATATATTCCCCAGTTCTCTAAAGGCAGCATGATGTGCCTCTGCTCAAAACTTAATACACAACGTCCATTAATTACATATCCCATCTTTAAGTAGATAGCCTATTTCCCTTACATGACAGCCCAAGGAGGTTAAAATTTAAAAAAAAAAAAAAAAAAAAACAGTGCAAAAAGAGCTGTTGATCTTAATTCATGGGAATAATGTGTGCACATTGGACTTCAAACTGTAAATATAAAGATGGGATTGTTAGAAACAGTAACTTTATTTTTATAAGTTAAAAAAATTAAATGTATCTTTATATACATGTTTAATATGAGGGAGGGTCAGTTAGAATCAGTAAAGGCCCCAGAGAATTTAAAGGAAAAACATCATGAAAACTAGCACACTGTCTTTAAAAAGACTGTCTTTAAAATGACGACTTTTTTAAAATAATACATTTGTGGCTCTTTTTATTTGTCTTCTTTTTTTTGCCTTTAGGGTTTACATTTTCAAGCTTTTCCAGAACACTGTAAAAATTAAAACTGAGATTCTCAACACAATGATTCCAAGAAATGGAGCTTTAAGAAAAAAAAAACACACCAAGTATTGCAAGAGATGCAATAAAAGCCGTGAGAGATGGCAAGCAACATCGGAAGCTGGAAAATTCATGACTTTTCTGAATATTCTTGTTTCATTTAGAAAACTGAGAAAGCGCAACTGTTTTGTTGCTGCCAGAGGACTTTGAGATTGCTTATAACAGTAATCTGGCACAGAAATACTAAATGCACATTATAAATTATGTGAAGCATACATTTTATAAATTGGTCTTATAAGGCAATGCCAGTTTTCTGGCTGTGTTTGTAAATTAGTTGGACATACTAGTTTAGGAGCTGTTGTCCTGAGTTTTCATTCTATTACCGAAAAATATAAGAAATTAAGAAAACATTGTTTGCCAATTAATGGAGAAACTAAGGTATATCACAAGGGGGGACAGGGAACATGCCTTTTTAATCTAATAGGCCATGTAAGTTTATGGTGTCATTGAATTGAAAAATCTTTTGCATTTAAGCTGCTAAAACAAGTTTATTTAAATCTCTGAAGAATGGAGGGGAGAAGGTTTCTATGATTAGGTTTTAAAAATGAAAAGTGAAAATGAAAATCTCATCCAACTGCTTAGTAAGATTTTAGGACTATATATTTACATAGAAATATCAAACACGGAGTTTCATATTAGATCACAGCTGCAAACAATTCAAAGCCACCGACAGAACACAACATTTAAAAGGAGAGAAGCGGGGGCGAGAGAGAGGGGGAATAAGAACAGATTTAGAAATATTCAAAATGCATGCTTACAGTACTGTATCACACTTTGATTCAGAACACCCCAGAAATGGTAAAGACAACATCCAATGCATATCGGATCATTATTAATACAGAAAAACAAAAATACCAAGACGGGAAGAGGTATTGAAGAGAAAGAAACAAGAACATACCAAATCTAGAACAGAGATTGCTGGCACAGCAGTCTGCTGCAGATAATAAGAAAAGGGAAAAAAGAAAGATGCACAGTAAAAATAAAGGTAAGTTTAGATTTGCACTATGCCAAAAGCATTTCCCTTTGATTTGATACTTCAGCTGTTATAGAAAGGTAAACGCCAAAAAAAGGAAAAATTTTGGACACTATATAGCTAAACTATTTGAGCAGTGAAAACCTCCAGGGCCCTAACTGTGGTAACATTTCAGATTAGCTATTCATATACTCAAAAAACAGAGCTAATGATGATCGTCCTTAGAAATACCATGCTTATGTGCATCTCTGGATTGACAGATAACACCACAGCAGTACTGCAGACATTATCTTTTCTTAAAGAGCAGGCAAAGAGCTAATTTTAATTTAGGCATGAAGCTTTTTCCACATTATAATTCAGGCTAGGATTGTGCAAAGCCGCTAATGTTCTAAAATTCTGGAAAATGTCACCAACTAATATTTAAAATTCAGACCTCGTGGAGAAGAACGATATAATGTTATATAATACAGTTGGCTACTCAACCCATTAATGATGTGGTTTTTTACGTCAAACAATAATAAAAATGTTAGCACAAAGACTTTTTTGTGCAAATGGCAGTGTTATATGTATTTTAATGCCTGTAGTTAACTGCTTATGTGTTAAACACGGATTTATCACATTGCCAAGGATATATTTAGACTTCCATCAGTTTAAGTGTGGTGTATCTATTGCTTCAAAACAATCAAAGTTAGCCACAAGGTAAGAGGAAAGCAACAGACTGGCAAGGGCACAAAGATTAAGTTTAGGAATTCAAATGCTAGCAAGGCTTTAGTGCCAATGAAGCTAATATAAAGCCAAAAGCTGCCAGAAACAATCCAGAAGAAAAAAAGTTATTCTATACTGTCAAATAAATGTTCATAAATATTTCTTGTTGTGTTGCATTTGCTTTCTATAGAATTAAGTCAACTCTTATAAAGACATGTAGTAGTAAAGATGCTCAACCATCTAAGGAGCTAGTTTATATATCCTTCAAAGAAAAACTATTAACTTGTAATTTGGTATTCCTGTGGTGGTGTTTCATAAGAAAAATAATAGTTTCTATATGGAAACAAGTTTCTCAGTGAAGACAGAACAGGCAGAATAACTTTAGCAGATGACATACAGTTGCATTACCTTCTTTCATTTAACAGTTGTAAATATCAAGGGCTTTCACCAGTAAAGCCGCCAAATAAGAGCTATGGAGTTAAAATAAAGATACTAAAGAAACACTGCCCATTTTTGGTCCCTCTCCAAAGACCTTAATTTTCATCCTCCATAAGTAAAACTTCCAGAGTACACATGAGGCATAACTTGCTTATGTTACTTTGAGGAATTAGTCAATAACTATCCTTTTCCCTATCTACACAAGGAATGCCATTTCACAAAAGGAAAAGTTTTACAGCCAAAAAACATTTTGCTCTGATCTTTGCGATTAGTAGCATCATATTTTTATAATACACCATTTTAACTGGCCAAACCAAGGTTGTTGGAAACATTTTTCTTTAGCATTTTCTATATAATGAAAGACAGGGACATTAAGACAGTCCAGTCCTCCTTTATCCTATGACAATTTCAAATTTTGTTTAACCAGTCTACTAGAAAACACAGGTTTACTGCTATACTTGTGCCTAGAAAGGATTACCCCCTTTTACCCTTGCTCTTCTTTCAGCCTCCAGCCGTTGCATGATGAGCATGGTATCCACATCATCATCTTCTTCCTCGTCATCATCCTCATCTTTTTGCTTTGACTCTTGGAGTCTTTTTTGGAACTGCCACTCGAGCATAAGCTTGCGCAGGCGGTCGTTCTCTTCGGCTGTACGATCAGGCTTGTTTTGAAGTTCCTGAATCTCTTTACTCAGCATGTCCACAATGTGCATCTGTTGTTGTTTCTCTAGCTTCTCCTTAGCATCCCGTTTCCAGGGATCAGGAGACAAGCTATCACTAGAGGACAGTTCTTCTTTGCTAATGGTGATGTACTGCAGATCTCTTCGTTCAATGGTTCGGGGTTGCTGTTGTGGCTGTAGCTCTCGAATGACTGTGTCCTGGGACCTCTGCAATGTTGCAGGCTTTTCTAGTTTCAGCTGCTGCACAGAAACAGGAGGAACCATAGGCTGAGCAGGAATTAGTGGCTGAGTACGCATCTGGCCCAATTTCCTTTCCTGCTCACGACGCTTCCTCTCTCGCTCTTCCTCTAGACGTGCTTTCTCCTTTTCATACCACCGCTGATGCTCCTCTCTCTTTTTACGTTCTGCAGCCGCTACCTGTGAAGATAATTGTGTTCCTAGCTGGTTTGGAGGGGGAGGAGGTGGAAGAGGCAAAGACAAATCCATTTGCAGTCCATCAAAATCAGCTGCATAATGTACTGGTGGTGGAGGTGGTGGAGGAGGAAGGTCTGTTCTGATGGGCTGGGAAGCTGCCACTGGTGTTGGCTGACTGATAGCTGGAGTTTTCCAACGGCCAGGTCCACTTTTGGTTAAACAAGAACCAGGGGAAACTGGTTTGGAGGAATGGTTCAGATGCTCTTGGCTGGATGTGCTTGAATCTACAGATGAATTCATCCATGGATCACTATCTGACTTTCGATCAACATACTCTATATCCTTTCTTATAACCACCTCCAGACGATTCCTTTCTGGTTGGAAAACTTTATCATCTCGCAGTTCTTCCTGGGAATGAGCTGCACGCTGAAAGACATAAAATAAAGTATGCATATTAGTTAACATTTATACCCAATATAAAAACTAGTGGCTTGTAAAAAACACATTTCTACCTGACAAAATGCCTTCCTATCAATAAAATTAAATCTTTTTGGTAAAGCAGAAAACTTACATAAACAAATTTCCCAAGAATTTACTGTCAATACCACCATAACATTACCAACTCTTTTAAAACATACAAGCCCAGGAAGAGTTTGTAAAGCTCTGAGGCAGAGTTATCAAGCAACACTGAGGAAATGATGAAAACAAGGTATAACTCATGCCAACAGACTCCTCATCTCACAGAAATTCTCAGGGCTATCCTTAACAGTGCTCTCTCATTTCCAAACACAGGTGGTCTGCAACAGTAACTCAAGTCCAGTAACTCTCCAGTCCAGCCTATTTCTCGGCTGGCAAACATATTTCTTTCATGAGCACAGACACACAGAGTGCTGAGTGAAAAGGGGAGTCATCCAGCCACCCAATTGGGGCATTCTCCCTTCTCTTGTTACTGTAGGAATCATTCAGGGAGAGGATTTGGGTGCTCAGAAGCCCAACCCTGCTCATCTGTCTCACAGGAATATTAAGTATTTATTAGTTTATATACTGATAGCATTTTAAAACATGTCAGGCATTATTACCACTGCACAGAAAATATTACAAGATATATTGAATATGAAAAATATTCAGAAATAATTAGGATGATGGAATCTTATCTAAATTTAATTTTATTCTTGAAGAAAATATATATTTGGAGTATTAGAAAATTTTCAGTATAGACACAGAACGTACAGACTTTCAGCGAGTGACAAAGGAGGAGACTAACAATGCAAAATTTCTTCCCCACCAATGACCTTAACTGAG